GGCCGTCCTGCGCCTGCGCGGCAGCGCGGCCCGGCCCCCCCGGGCGGGGTATCGCCGCGCCTGCGCACTGTCCCGAGGGCGTCGTCGGCGCTTGCCGCGCGAGTCGCTGGCACTGTAGTGGAGCTGTCGGGTGTTGGGACCGCGCAGGCAGTGGGGGCGGAGCCTGACCGGCGTTCCCGCGCTCGCTGAGTCGGGTTGTTCCTGGCCACCGCCCCGGGGTCGTGCTGTGCACGTCGCTGGGAGGTCGAGGTCGGGTCGGGTCCAGGCGCCTGTCAGCCTCCGGCTGTTTACTCTGCGGGCCGTGGTGCAGTGCTGCACGCTCAGGCCCCCCTTGTCCCTGCCCCAGAGGTCTGCGCCTCTGGCACACCCCTGTGTGGGTCAAACCAGGGTGGGGTTGATTTAAATCAAATTGATTTTAAATCATGGTTTAAGTCACAGGTCAGGATGGAGGCCACATGATGCTTCATGAAGCATGTCACCCTCCACCCTTTACCTACACATACCCCCTGTGCAGTGGATGCCTCCCCTGCTGTATCGTGTCTGTGTCCCACGCACCGCATTGTGCCAGAAAGATTCCTCTGTGTCGTGCTATGCAGGCCCCCCAAGTCTGCCCAAGCCACCTGGATGCAGGCTGCCTTGGCCCTGCTTGCAGGGTGGGGAAGGCAGCAGAATCCAGAGATTTCAGTAGCAGCGGCAACTGAAGCAGTGGAGGGAGCAGTGCCTAGACCAGGAGCCTGGAGGCCACAAGTTAACCCTTTGGGGTCTTATGTGAGCTGCCAGTTGAACATTTGTCTCCTTGCAGAGGGTCCAAGGAGGACCCTGAGTCTGCCCTTATGTGGAAGCAGGGGGTCCCCCCCAGAAGGGAACCTGAGAGTAGGGGCCCCCAGAAATTCCCCTTCTGATACCTGTGTGAAGCATCATAGCCCAGTAAGGGCTGGAGGGTTCTCCTGTGTCCTTACAAGAACAGCGGTAGCAGCTGAACGGAAGGAAAAGCAGGAGCCCTGACTTGTAAGCTCCTGCTCTCCCCATATTGGAGACCACCTGGGGTTTGACTGTATAACCAGATGTCCAGCACAGGTGGTAGGGAGAGAGAATGGTGGGAAGACAGTGCAGGCTGCTGCACCGCTGGGTAAGTAAAGCAGATGTTGATGAAGCTGATGAAGGGCTTATCGTTCCTGACTGGGGCATGGCGAAGCTAGCAGACAGTAATTCATCGGGTCAGAAGAATGGGGAGTGGCTGATTACCTAGAAGGAATTGTGTTGTGTGGTTCACATCTTTTAGAAAGCAGGAACTTTCTTATGCTAGCAGACCTAGCCCTTAATGAATTAAGAGTACTTTGATTGTTCAGTTAAATTAATTGGACTAATTGATTTCTTTAATGATCAATGAATGACCGACATTTTCTTGATTTAATTAATTATGGTTATTCGATTGCCTAGTGAAATTAATTGGATGGACTGATTTCCTTAATGATCAAGGAATTGTGGACTTTTTTTATCTCATTGGTTATTATTATTTGATGGATTAACAACATTAATTGGGTGGATTGATTTTCTTAAGGATTAATGAATGACAGACATTTTTGGTATTCACTAATTATCGTTTATTTATGATCAACCAGTTAGGCGGAAACTTAGGTAGACTGACCATTGATCTGAATTGATACCATTTTCTCTGAAATCATATTAACAACATCTAGCAAACTAACATAGGGGTGGCACCACTTTGTGGGAAGGAAGTTAGACGATGTCATAATACTTGGTTGACGTGTGGAAGAGGAGGCAAAGCCCCACGTAGTGCCACCATAAACTCCAGTTGTCGACCAGAAACCCTCCCAGCAGTATCCAAGGTCAAGATGTGGCAGGAAAAGGGAGGGTCAGTTTCAGTAAGTGGGACATGTTGAGGGTCAAACTGTCCATCGTAAAAGTCAGCATTTCAGGAGCCTGAACTCTCGTTTATTGTGGCACGGTCATACCTGCAATGCTGTTCACACCTTATTTGCTTATCTCCTCACACTTCCTGTGTCAACCTTCAGAAGATCTCCCAGTATCCTAGGATGATGTAGCACCCTACTTGGTAATTACTGGTATAGATAAGCATCTACCTCTATCCAAGCACACCAGGCATCTCCCTGTTTGGCTGGTTTTTGAGGGTCCCTAGTTTCCCTGAGCATTGGATGGGCAACCTGGGCACTCAACTCTGGGCTAAGAAGTCTACAGTAGACATTAAGATACCTAGCAGTTAGGTGTTGTAACATTTAGCACTGCAGTGTCTAGGTACCTTTTGGGGGTGTACTTGGTTGGTCTAATAAAAGGTATCATTTTGGAACCAAGAGTTCTAGTTTTTTGTATGTCTAGGTACCTTTTGAGAACACATTGGACTGGTCAGTTATGGTGCTAGACAGTGCAATACTTGAGACACCAAACTGGAAGCAGTGGAGTCACCTGAATAGTGAGAAGCAGAGTTTAACTGGTGTCCGCACAGAGCTGCACAAAGATGGTCATACTGCTTTTAGTGTGGCAGCTAGCATGTGTGGAGAGAGCACAGCATGTTTCATTATGTGGCTCTGCCTGGTGCCATAATGAAGTAGTATAGACATATCATGGGGTCTTTAACTTCCTAATTTGTGTCAGTTCACAACACCCTCCATTTTACTTTCTGTAAACATTATTGAAATCTTTGGATTAAATGCATTCATAGAGGTGGAAAATTATATTTATCAGGATTTAATTAATAAAAATAGATATCTCTAGATGGCAGCAGAGAGCAGGCAAGGTCATGAAACAAGTATAGAAATAAGAGCTCCAATCATTTTGTCTGAATGTACAGCAGAAAGTTGATTATCCAGAATAATGTTACTATTGTTCTGAATAATTATATTTTCTAGATAAGCAAACACTGCAGTATGAAGTGCTGAAAACTATATTTTAACTACTGTGTACAGCAAATATTAGAAACAGGAAGACAGTATGGTTCTGTGTAATTTTTAAAATCCTGAAGTACTAGTAAATAACACACAGTTGTCTTGCTAACAAACAAAACCAAACTTCTGGTTGATACCTTTTGTTAATACAAAACCTCCCAGTTAAGTGACTTTCCACATAATCAACTCTCCACCGTAAATTTATTGTTTTCAATTAGAATTTTAGAAATGTGGCAAAAACCACTTACAGATTTAATGACTGTTGTTGACTATTTAATGACTGTTGTTGAGACAAGTATGAAAGGATATTTGCTATCTCTAGCATAAAATACAGAAAAGGTATTTACTAGAAAAAATATTCTAATTTTTGGGTTAATATTTTCAAGTGAAGATTATCTAAATATTGCTGATGAGTTCATCTGTAACTTCTTAGCTGATGCTGCTTAAAGATTTTTGATCTTAACAGACTATTGAGTGGATTCGTGTTTATATGAAAGAATGTTGAAAATATTTAAATGATTTATTTTTGTACTGAATTGCACATTCAACTTGTTATTAATATAAGTCAAATCTTTATAACAAGTTTTCCTGAAACATCTCTGTCATCCAAGAAGCGTGATTTCTGATTTGTGTCATGAACAGATGAAGTAAATAGACTTACAACTCCAATTCTTTGGTCCGTATTTTTTCTTGTATATCACATGTTCCCCCAACCATAATATGCCCTCTATTTTGGGAAGTCCCCAAGAAGGGGAAAAAAAATTACCTTGGAATATGAGTAAGTACCGGAGGTCAGGGTTTCATAGTTTCATAGTTTGGTAGGGTTGGAAGGGACCTGAGCAGATCATCAAGTCCGACCCCCTGCCATGGTAGGAAAAAGTACTGGGGTCAAACAACCCCAGCGAGGTGTTCATCTAACCTCCTCTTAAAGACCCCCAGGGTAGGAGCCAGCACCGCTTCGCTTGGAAGTTGGTTCCAGATCCTAGCCGCCCTGACAGTGAAATAGCGCCTCCTGATGTCTAGTCTGAATCTACCCTCTGCCAGCTTGTGACCGTTATTTCTAGTCACTCCTGGTAGTGCTATTTCTAGTCACCCCAATGCCTGCTGGTCCCCTCTGACTAGTTTGCAACAGGCCACTAGATCCCCCCTCAGCCTTCTCTTGTGGAGGCTGAACAGGTTCAGGTCCCTTAGCCTCTCCTCGTAGGGACTGCCCTGCCCCCTGATAATGCAGGTGGCCCTCCTTTGGATCCTGTCAGTGCTGTCCACATCTCTCCTGGCCCAGAACTGGATGCAGTACTCCAACTGTGGCCTGACCAGTGCCGCATAGAAGGGGAGGATCACCTTGGACCTGCTCGAGATGCATCTGTGGATGCATGACAAGGTGTGGTTGGGCTTCCTGACCGCGTCCCCACACTGTCGGCCCATTTTCATTTTGGCATCAATAATGATTCCAAGATCCTTTTCTGCCTCTGCACTGACAAGAAGGGAGTTCCCCAGCCTGTAGGTGTGCTGCTGTTTCTTCCTCCCCAGGTGTAGCACCTTGCATTTGTCAGTGTTGAAACCCATCCTGTTCTCATCTGCCCACCCCTGTAACCTGTCTAGGTCCATCTGCAGCCTATTCCTCCTTTCTAGCATGCCCACATCCCACCACATCTTAGTGTCATCAGCAAATT